GGTGGGTGGGATGGGTTTGGGGAAGCCCCTGGATACCCCAGGGTGGGCGGGATGGGTTTGGGGGAGCCCCCTGGGTGCCCCAGGGTGGGTGGGATGGGTTTGGGGGAGCCCCTGGGTACCCCAGGGTGGGCGGGATCCGCTGTCAGGGGGTGGGGGCGGGTTTTGGGGAGCCCCCCGGGGGCAGTGGGGGGCTACACGAGTTTCTTGGCCTCGAAGAAGCTCTTGAGGTGCCTCATCTGCCAGATGCCGGTGAGGATGAGGATGATGGTCTGCGCTATGGACCACCACAGCACGCGCTGGTTCGTGCTCTCGCTCGTCATGCGGAACCGCTCCTCGCGGTACTGCGGGCACCCACGGCACGGGGGTCACCCCAAAAACCCGCGGGGTCACCCCAAAAACCCGCGGGGTCACCCCCAAAACCCGCGGGGTCACCCCCAAAACCCGCGGGGTCACCCCAAAAACCCGCGGGGTCACACCAAAATCCCGTGGATTCACCCCAAAACCCGCGGGGTCACACCAAAACCCGCGGGGTCACCCCAAAAACCCGCGGGGTCACACCAAAACCTCGTGGATTCACCCCAAAACCCGCGGGGTCACACCAAAACCGCACGGGGTCACACCAAAATCCCGTGGATTCACCCCAAAAACCCGCGGGGTCACACCAAAAACCCGCGGGGTCACCCCCAAAACCCCGTGGAGTCACCCCAAAATCCCACCGGTTCATCCCAAAACCCGCGGGGTCACCCCAAAACCCGCGGGGTCACCCCAAAACCCGCGGGGTCACACCAAAATCCGCGGGGTCACACCAAAACCGCGTGGAGTCACCCCAAAATCCCGCGGGTTCATCCCAAAACCCGCGGGGTCACCCTAAAACCCGCGGGGTCACACCAAAATCCGCAGTCACCCCAAAACCCGCGGGGTCACCCCAAAATCCGCAGAGTCACCCCAAAACCCCGTGGATTCACCCCAAAAACCTGCGGGGTCACAACAAAACCGCGTGGAGTCACCCCAAAATCCCGTGAAG